CCAATAGGACACAGATGGGGTTATCCTCTTCCCTTACTGTATCCAAAATGGAAAAAAGTTTTACCTTTTGGGTACTTTAACTCTAAAGTTCATTGTACAAAGATTGTATTGTCAGATTGTAACGTGTATGGCTACCTTAACATATGGCAATAATGAAATTGTTCACTCGGGTTCTCTTTCTATGAATATTTTTGCTGAAAGACTGAATTTTATATGTCAAAAATTTGTGGTAAAGAAATTAAATCAGAAAAGGACCAAATACTTTCACAGAGCCATTTAAAATTACTTTATGCAGTCATTCTACATACACTAGTTTACTCTAGGGTCAACAGAAGTATTGGACTTCTGTCTCTTGTTTCCATCGCTGCAAAAATGATCTCGCTGTAAGGAATCTTTTAGAGTAATAGGACACAGCAGGAAGTTATTTGGTCAGGGTGCACTGAAGGTCTTTCATTTAGAGTGCTTACACTAGTGTATTCAATACCACTGACTCAGCAACTTGTTAACAACCTTCAGTGACAGAAATATGGTTGAAGAGAATGACAATGTTTCTTTTTGTTTTTTTTTAAAATGTTTTTTTTAAGTTATAATGGTTATTGGTTGTAATGGGTAAAATAGTATTACTAAAGCCACAACAGTAAAATCAATCTGCATATACCGTAAAGCATACTTGTTATACTCTGTGGAACCCAAGGGGTTAATTCTCCACATTGTGTAAAAAGGATGTTTGCTCCTCTCTTCCCTGATCCTCCCCTTCTTCCATTGTCCCCTAAATATCTCCTGATAGAAAAGAGGTTTAGAGTCACTCTGCACATACTCAATTAATTGACGATAAAACAAACCTATACTATTTCATATTTACAAGTATCCAGCTAAGTAGATCTCAGCTAACCTGGGTGACTCCAAGCCTTGCCTGTCTTTATGACCTATACCTTCAGATGGACCCGATTTGAACCTCCATTCTCCTCTATGGAGTGGCGGGTTTAAACAGACCTGTGTCCATTTACATCTGCCTACATCCAATTCAATCCGCTAAAAACAAGCTGATGGGATCCATTCCCCTCTGTCTGGCTGGATTACCTGTATCGGATGAAGCCTTTGCTTCCCTAAGGCTTTCTTGGCCCATCTATGGGTTTCCTCCATCATTTGCCCCTCGCTGGGTGGTTAATTTCCTTTCTGTAGGGCTTCGGCCCTCAGGGAACAATTACCTCTTTCCCCACCTATGCCCATCCCCCATAGAGTGAGACTCCTGGCATCTTTACTGCATTTAGCATCGATCCTGTCTGTTTGAGTCTGTTGACCCCTGTTCCTGGGCCGTTGCTGCTGTTTTGTTGCCCTCCCTCCAGTTTAGTGCTTGACGATGTTCCATGGTCCAAGAAGCAGCAAGAATTTTGCAGTACCTGTGATCACCCCCCCCCCCCCATCTCTGTGATCTTTTTTTTTTATTTATATATATTTATATTATAATTTAAGAATCCATTCCTGTGTCCTGGTTGTCAAAATTCTGATTTAAAGGATATGTTCACCTTTTCTAACATGTAAGTGTACAATCCAAACGCACATGTGCGTTAAAAATGGTTATCTGTATAAATGGGGGCTGCAGCAACCGTTGGCTGGAACCGAACAGAATCAGCAAGGGAAAGTGTCACCAGCACACCGAGGATCACCAATATGGGTCCAAACGTTTTAATGAAAGATCACATAATTACAGCAAGGCAACGTTTCATAGTCTCACAGGACCCTTCATCAGGCATGTGTCACATGCCTGATGAAGGGGTCCTGCGAGACTCCGAAACGTTGCTTTGCTGTAACTGTGATCGTTCATTAAAATGTTTGGACCCATATTGGTGATCCTCGGTGTGCTGGTGACATTTTCCCTTGCCTTTCTAACATGTTACATCCATATTTAGGTGTAATATTTTTGCTGCTGCAGCTGCCCCCCTCCTTTCCCAAGTTCTTTCTGTGACAGCAGACTGGGAATCTTCTCCCCTTGTTTGCTGCCACAGTTCAAAAAGACTTGGTCGTGCAGGGCTCCTCCCACGTCACTTATTCACAGTATTTTGTGACTGGGAAACTACAACTAACGACAGCCTTTGCAGCTGTCGAGCTGTACTTCTCACTGAACTACCATGGCGCTGTTTATTTTTTTAAGTATTTTCATGCATTTGGAGAAACTGTTTGTCTTCAGTATGTCTTAGTTGAGAATATGAATATATGTATTGGGAGCTTTCCCTGCTCTTATAGCTAAGCAGTTAGTCCCTTCTAGGGGAGGAGATTGTACAGGCTCACTAGTGTGAGAAAAGTAGTTGCAGCTGTTTTAATTTGGTCACTAAAACAATATTCTGTAGCAAGAGTGAATTGATTATGTTTTCTTTTTTTTTTTTTGCATAGTCTGCACTGGATTGGTGGCCGAAGATTGATGCCGTGTATTGCTACTCAGGAGAGCTCCGCAGCATGTTTGCTGAAACGCTCAAAATCGTCATGCAGTTACATACAGCAATCCGCTTGACGCCGGTAAAGTTTGATATCTTATGCTGATTGCATATTCTGTGTCTATAACTACCATGTTAGTCATGTAATTGCATTCCAAATGCATATAGGTAGCATGTCTCAAGTAATTAGTTTTATATATAGCTATGTTTATCTAGGTAAAGAAAATCTTGGCATCCTTTTGTCTTTTTCCATTCTTTATTTCTTGTCAGAATGCTACTTTTTCTTTGTAAATGGCACTCAAGTGTAACTGTCCATCAGCATTTCCTGAGCTCATATGTTTGACTCTTCAAGGAGAGAGCACTCGACAAAGGCTGGGAATGTCTGGGAGCAGTGACGTCACCCATAGACTTCTTATGGCCCATCTGTTGTCAGTTACCCCTGAAGCTGCCACTGGTGTCACATGAGTGCTGGACCATGTGACAAAACCAGGATGGCCTGAAAATAGAAAAGCATGTACATCTTTGTTCTAGAGGTTAATCTGCATAGGTGTTCGGAGGGGTGAAATAGCATTTTTAAGACAAGTTAGTTTGTAGCCTGGAATTCTTCTTTAAAATCCTTAAACAAATTCCTTCAATTTCCAGAATTTTCTATGGATTTCACAAGAGCAATTATCGCCTCTGAATACATGGCATCCATAGACTTTCAAGATGCTTATCTACAGTCAGGTCCATAAATATTGGGACATCGACACAATTCTAACATTTTTGGCTCTATATACCACCACAATGGATTTGAAATGAAACAAACAAGATGTGCTTTAACTGCAGACTGTCAGCTTTAATTTACATCCAAATCAGGTGAACAGTGTAGGAATTCCTAACAGTTTGCATATGTGCCTCCCACTTGTTAAGGGACCAAAAGTAATGGAACAGAATAATAATCATAAATCAAACTTTCACTTTTTAATACTTGGTTGCAAATCCTTTGCAGTCAATTACAACCTGAAGTCCGGAACGCATAGACATCACCAGACGCTGGGTTTCATCCCTGGTGATGCTCTGCCAGGACTCTACTGCAACTGTCTTCAGTTCCTGCTTGTTCTTGGGGCATTTTCCCTTCAGTTTTGTCTTCAGCAAGTGAAATGCATGCTCAATCAGATTCAGGTCAGGTGATTGACTTGGCCATTGCATAACATTCCACTTCTTTCCCTTAAAAAACTCTTTGGCTGCTTTTGCAGTATGCTTTGGGTCATTGTCCATCTGCACTGTGAAGTGGCATCCAATGAGTTCTGAAGCGTTTGGCTGAATGTGAGCAGATAATATTGCCCGAAACACTTCAGAATTCATCCTGCTACTTTTGTCAGCAGTCACATCATCAATAAATACAAGATAACCAGTTCCATTGGCAGCCATACATGCCCACACCATGACACTACCGCCACCATGCTTCACTGATGAGGTGGTATGCTTAGGATCATGAGCAGTTCCTTTCCTTCTCCATACTCTTCTCTTCCCATCACTCTGGTAAAAGTTGATCTTGGTCTCACCTGTCCATAGGATGTTGTTCCAGAACTGTAACGGCTTTTTTAGATGTTGTTTGGCAAACTCTAATCTGGCCTTCCTGTTTTTTTGAGGCTCACCAATGGTTTACATCTTGTGGAACCCTCTGAACCCTCTGTACACACTACACCTCCTGGAGAGTGTTCTTGATCTGGCCAACTGTTGTGAAGGGTGTTTTCTTCACCAGGGAAAGAATTCTTCGGTCATCCACCACAGTTGTTTTCCGTGGTCTTCCGGGTCTTTTTGTGTTGCTGAGCTCACCGGTGCGTTCCTTCTTTTTAAGAATGTTCCAAACAGTTGTTTTGGCCACGCCTAAAGTTTTTGCTCTCTCTCTGATGGGTTTGTTTTGTTTTTTCAGCCTAATGATGGCTTGCTTCACTGATATTGACAGCTCTTTGGATCTCATCTTGAGAGTTGACAGCAACAGATTCCAAATGCAAATAGCACACTTGAAATGAACTCTGGACCTTTTATCTGCTCTTTGTAATTGGGATAATGAGGGAATAACACACACCTGGCCATGGAACAGCTGAGAAGCCAATTGTCCCATTGCTTTTGGTCCCTTAACAAGTGGGAAGCACATATGCAAACTGTTGTAGTTCCTACACTGTTCACCTGATTTGGATGTAAATACCCTCAAATTAAAGCTGACAGTCTGCAGTTAAAGCACATCTTGTTTGTTTCATTTCAAATCCATTGTGGTGGTGTATAGAGCCCAAAATGTTAGAATTATGTTGATGTCCCAATATTTATGGACCTGACTGTATGTATTCCCGTTCATCCACCTTATCAGCGCTTTCTGCACTTTGCAGTGGCAGATGGTTATTTTTATTTGTTGCACTGCCATTTGGCCTAGCCACTGCTCCAGGAGTATTCCCCAAGATTCCAGCAGCTCTTTTTGCCCTTCTTCGGGCATTCAGGTCACAGGTTATCTAGATCAGGGCTTAAAATTTCACATCCTGAGCTACTAGCCAGGCCTTAAGAGTTACTCGCCACCAACAAACACACACAAACAGAGACACCTGTACACACACACAGACATGTACATACATACACACACAGAAACATGTACACACATATACAGATACATGTATACACACAGGCACGTACAGACACGCATACACATGCATGCACAGAAATACAAACGCACAAACCCATGTATATACACATGTACACACAGACACATGTACGTACATACACACACGTACATGCACACATACACACACGTACGCTGTTAAGTGCTCTCTCCTCTCCCCTGAAGCCACCACTGGCTGACATAGAGGATCATGTGACCAGAGTGAGCTGAAATTAGGTAGACACACACACACCCTATAAAAAGTTGCAGTACTTCGTTGTTCACTCACAGAGCCGGGTACTGCACTCTAGGTGGAGGCAGAGAGCACAGCACACACTCCTTCCTTTGCTTTCACTACGCTCAGCTATTGAGCAGTCTGACAGCTCCCAGTGCCAATGACCGATCCGGCCTGAGCTACGAGTCTGCTCAGCAAGACGGCCCTGGGGGACACACTCATCCCCACCATAATTTCCACTTGCCATTGGTGAGCAGGCGAATGAAAATTTCAAGGCCTGATCTAGATGACCTGTTCTTGACGGAGTCGTCATCTTTCCAGCTGTCTGCAGTTGTGCACGTGACAATTCTTTTGCTCCAGACTTTCAGATTTCAAAAATCTGCTCTCCAGCCTTCTCTTTACCTGGAATTCTTGGGTTTCGTCCTGAACACATCCAAAGCAATAGTCTGTCTACCAGAGAAATAAATTCTATATTAACTCAGTCAAGAATTGAGATCAAAGAGACATCCCAAAATTAAATTCCCTGAGAGTCCTATGCTTCATGTTAGCCTCCTTTTGAGTAAGGCGGCTAACTTGATCATCAATTTCATACGAGACCTCACCATCACACCATCCTAGAGCTCAAAACAGTAAAAATTACTCTGCAACACTGGCACCTTTTCTGCTGGTACACCGGATCAGGGTGCTGTCAATGCCACAATGTATGGCCTATATCAACCATCAAGGGGGCACCAGGAGCCATGCAGCCTTAAAGGAAGTGAGCCACATAATCTTCATGGATGGAGACTCACTGTTCAGCTATCTCTGCAATCCAAATCCCAGGCATGGACAACTGGAAAACAGATTACCTCAGCTGCCACCACTTGGATCAAGTAGAATCGACCCTTCACCCCGACATTTTCAATGTGATTTTCAAAGATGGGGAACCCTGGATATGGAGCATTCTTTTTTTCATATTCAACAATAAAACTTCCTCTGTTTGTGGTCAGGACCAGTGATCCTTTAGTGCTGTCATCAGATGCCTCGATAATCTCCCAGTCTTAGTTCAGGCTAATCAATGCCTTTCCACCAGAAGCCAGTGATTCTCATAGTACCTAGCTCGCCCAGATGTACCTAGTACACAGATGTACTCAAACTACCAGTGAACAACCCCTCTCTTCCCAAGAGGCCAGACCTGCTGTCCCAGGGCCCTCTGTTTCATCTTACTCCTCTGTCCCTTGCTTTAACAGCATGGATTAACATAGAGAGGTCTCTGAGTCTCATTTCTACCTTGCTAAAAGCAAGAAAAGCCAGAAAGATATATACTATTATGCTTGGAAATCCTTCTTTGCCTGGGATGAACACAGGCACTTCAATCTCAGAGATTACTCTGTGCCTCACATTCTGGCCTTACTACAATCAGGTCTTAACCACAACTTGGCCTTAAGCACTATGAAAGGACAGGTTTTGGCCTTGTCATTTCTTTTTCAAAGACCTCTGGCTTTGCTCTCCTTTGTCAAAACCCTTATTCAAGGAGTATCTTCCATCAAGCCCCTCTTGCAGCACCCTGTGCTTCCTTGGGATCTTAGCTTATTTTTCTTTGCCCTGTATAAACCACTCTTCGAACCCATCAAGGATAGAGGACCTCTCTTTCAAAGTGCACTTTTTGGTCACTATCATGTCTGTCAGACATGGTCAGTGGCTGGCTGTCTTCTCAGAAGCTGTTCCTCATTCCTCACAATGACAAGGCAGTCTTATGCCCAATACCATCTTTTCCTCCCAAGATGTTATCAGTCTTCCACCTTAATAAAGACATTGTGCTTCCATCCTTGTGCCTTGTTCCAAAGCACTCAGTGGAAATTTTGCTTTGCTGCCTAACTTTACTGTCAGAGCTATAGGAGTCTACCACAAAGCAACAGCTTACAATCAGGAAGACAGCATCCCTATTTGTACTGTCTTCTGGACCTCACAAGGGCACCCCACTTCCAAGTCTACCATCGCTCGATGGGTAAGAAATCTAATTGCCGCAGCTTACACTCTTAAGGACAATTCTCATTGTGCACTTTTACCCACACATTTCACCAGATTAATGAGCATTTTCTGGGCATTCCGGGGCCATGCCTCTGTAGTCCAGCTTTGTATGGCAACCAGCTTGTTCTATGTTCATACCTTTTCAGTATTCTAATATGTGGACGTTCGATCTTCTGTGGATGCAGTTCTCACTGTAAGGTTCTTGCAGCGGCACACTATAGTTGGATTTGTTGGCCCTTGTTAGTTCTGTTTCATTAGTTGTTGCCCACTTTTTTTCATTCATTACTTGGGGAAGTCCCAGGGTCAGTGAATGCCTTGCCCTTGTTCTGTACTGTGGAATTTTGACTTGCTTGTAAATTTCATATCTTGCAGTAAAGTGCAGAACACTGGACACCCTGTCTTCCATTTCTTGGTTACTCTGCATTTCTTGCTACAAAACTGAAAACTTACATAGAGTAGGGTACAGTTATAGGGGAAGCGCCTAGGGGGCATGTTCTCAAACTTTACCAGTGTCCAGTCACCTCAAGGTATGACCCAGGGTCTATGAACACGTTGCCTATTTCCTGTACGGTACTTCAAGATATGGAGTTTAGAGGCAAGTCAAAATTCCTCTTTTTTTGCAAACAAACCCTATGATCAGATTTGGTAATTTAGAGGGCAAGTAATGGTCTATTCAACCCAGAGTGATATTGCAGAATAGGTTTAAGTCAAATTGTTCACCTGCTAACTGTTTATTTCACCAAATCTCTTAAGCACATCTTTGGAGAGTTCTCAGTTACTTGCACTGTTTTAATTTGCCTTATGGTATTTCAATTACTTCTCAAAAACTGAAAAATGGGTATAGTGGAACTCTCTTGTAAAGTGTGCAACTGTGGCAAACTGAGGTGATATTAAAGTTACTAACAAATATGGGTAAAAAAAAAAAATTAGTTTTAGGTAGATAGCTTTTTAAAGAGGGTTTAAACAGTTTCTAAAGGTTTGTGCATTTAGTTTAAACACAAAATAGGCATTTGAACACGTGTTACAAAATCTGAGTGAGTATGCTAATTTAATTATTTTATTAAATTTACTTGTTGCATTCTTAGTCACTCATTCTTTGTATTGACTGTGTACTGAAATTGTTCCTCAGAGTCTTACATTTAAAGAGAAAATGCCATACCTTAAGTTTAAAGAGAAACCAACCGATGTGGAAACGAGAAGTTACAAATATTTGCTACTTTCTTTGGTCAAGCTCATTCATGGAGACCCAAAGCTGCTACTGTATGTAAGTAGATATATTTTTTGTGCTTAATATTAAATTGCATATCTAGCCAAACCTTCATTTTGTTTTAAATTAAGGAGGGATTAGATCTCCTTGGAAGTGTCCATCAAAAACTCTAGCAAGCCAATATATAAAAGTTAATATATAATATATATATACATCTCTGGGTAAATTGCTGCTCTCACCTCCACTCTAAACTGTAACTTCAACAACGCATAGACTTCTGCTATCTGGGTAAATTGCTGCTCTCATCTTCACTCTAAACTTTACTTCAAAAACGCATAGACTTCTGCTATCTATGAACAAAAAGTGTATATATTTTGGTCTGTTTGTTGATAGATTCTCACCTCTTGCTGCACTTCTTTTATTACTCTGGCCTGTGTCTGGTCTGTGTTTGAGAAACATCCCCCCAATTCATGTGATCCTTATCAGTTCTTTATTGGGGCGGAGAAGAGTTGCTCATTTGACCATCTCCCTATAAATTTAGATCAGCTCCTGGGGGGAGGTCACAGATAGGGGGGCACAGTCACAGATGGAGTGCAGTTTTGTGCATGAGTACGGTTTTTGCAGGAGTGCGAATCAGCAGCAGTTGAACACAGCAGGTTAACTCAAGCAGCAGGAAGATACAGCAAAGAACTCTACTGCATGCTGGATGGACTGCAAGCAAACACCCTGGGAAACATCTCTTACAAGTCTGAGTCCCACTCCACCTATCTTTAAATATGCTGTCTCTACTCCTTCTTTTCATATTACTATCCTGCTTTCCCAAAATCTCCTTTCCTTACCCTTCTGCTCCACCCCAAATATTTCACATCTCACCCTCACTGCTACCATCTCCCTACTACTGCTCTCATCACCTACTGTTGATACTTCTCTCACCTGCTATCCCAAACAACAGGATTGGAAGGCATTTACACTTGTGTACATCCCGCTCCCATGTTACTTTCCTCACCCTTCTTCTCCTAACCTCTGGGGATATCTCCCCAGACCCTGGTCCTCCAGTATCTCACCCCCACAACAGCCACCCTTTTTCCTCCGGGAATAGCCGCTATCCCCTCAATTTAATATCAATCCCCATGCTCCAAAAAACCACCCTCCCTTTTTCATGTGCACTTTGGAATGCCTGCAGTGTCTGCAATAAGCTCACCTCTGTCCATGACCTTTTTGTCTCCCGCTCCCTTAACCTACTAGCAATTACAGAAACCTGGCTTCAAGCAGCAGATTCTTCTTCTCCTGCATCACTTTCCTATGGAGGCCTTCTCTGGACCCACTCGCCCAGACCCAGTGGTCGGAAAGGAGGAGGGGTTGGTTTGCTTCTATCCCAACTGAGCACTTTTCAAGTCCTCCCTAACCCTCCCTCCACCAAGCACCTCACTCACTGCTCACGAGATTGCAAATCATTTCAAAAGAAAGATTGATGCAATTCATAGGGGCATCTACACTGCACAGACATCCATCCCACTTAGCATACCTTATACTGAACCTCCCTCAACACTTTCCTCTTGACCTTGCTACTCCTGAAGAGGTCACTAAGGTTTTCTCAGAAGCCCGTCTCACTACCTGCCCCCTGGATCCTGTCCCTTCACAGCTACTACGGCCACCCTCTTCTTCCGTCCTATGCTCCCTCACTCACATCTTCAATCTCTCCCTCTCTAACGGTGCCTTCCCCTCCCCTCTAAAGCATGCACACATCACTCTCCCATACTTAAAAAGCCCTCCCTGGACCCCACCAACCTGAACAACTTAAGACCCATCTCCCTGCTCCCATTTACCTCTAAACTCTTAGAACGCCTAGTCTACAATCGCCTTAGGTGCTACCTCACTGACAACAACCTTCTTGACCCTTTACAGTCTGGCTTTCACTCACTACACTCAACTGAAACTGCCCTATTAAAACTCACTAATGATCTACTAACTGCTAAAACCAATGGCCACTACTCCGTACTCTTACTACTCAACCTCTCTTCGGCTTTTGATACTGTTGACCATCCCCTCCTCTTCTCAAAAAACTCCACTCT